CCCCCCCCCCCCCCCACATTTCCAACTTGTTTCAAGAAAAACAATACACTGGTCCTAGTTTACGTCCTCGTGTTAACAAGTTGTCCCTAATACCTCATTTTCCATAGGGTGGCAGAGTTGAGCTAATTACGCGAGCGCGCGTGAAATCATCACCTGCGAGGAAGGTGACATCTTTTGTCCCTCATTTTCTCTTAGACTTTCTCAATGTCCTTCGCTTCTCATTTCCGGTTCCAGAAAACATAAAGAAAAAATTTGAGCTCGACCTGTAGGCGCGTCTATAAATTTGTCTCTTCCCTCCGCGTGTCGCCTTCCTCGAGGGTGGTGATGTACACTCGCTCTTACGTAAAACGCTCACTCTACCCCATTCCTGAGGAAAATTAGGGACAAAAGAATAATGGAGTTGCAATGCAAACAAAACATACCATGCACTAAATTGCAAGCTGAATATCGGACTTATAAATTAACATTGTCTTAAACTTAGCAAAGTTTTTCAGGCCCACTGAGAAAGTGTTAAGTATTCTCTACGATAAGAAGTAATTCAGTATTTGGGTAAAGTGACACATGATTTCGACTGACTAACACCACAGGAGGACCACACAATCTGTTTGTGTAGCCGATTGTTATTTTATAGTAAATGTACTGGATTTACCGTTTGCTTCACCTATAGCGATGTATCGCTAACTATGTATATAAATCAATGATAAATAAACGATGAATTACCTTACCTGTGGTATATAGTCGTCCTTTCACCTCAAAAGAGGTTTTTTGAGCGACTCAAATTCCTTCAAAATCGCTCAAAAAACCGCTTTTGAGGTAAAAGGACGACTATATACCACAGGTAAGGTAATTCAACGTTTATTTATCATTGATTTATATACATAGTTAGCGATATATCGCTATAGATGAAGCAAACGGTAAATCCAGTACATTTAGTATAAAATAACAATCGGCTACACAAACAAATTGTGTGGGCTCCCTGTGCTAACACATGATATTTAATTCAAGATCATTGGATATGTAGTATGGCAATACCCTAAGAATTGTACGCGCATTCTTACCAATTGTTGTCAGCAGTTGAATAATGAAAGACAGAGCGTTTTCATAGCTCCATTCAGGTCCTGCACTTGACGAATCGCCTGCCTGCTTGATTTGCCGAGCAATGTTGTCAAATTCATCCTCGCTCATATTATACTTCGTTGTGACATCTTTCTTAAGTCTTTCAAGATGTTCTGTATTTGAAGTTTCGGTATCAATTTCACTATCGCCTTCAACAGCTTTGAATATAAAAACACCAATGGTGATATAAACAATCCAGGTTAAAAACAGGAACAAAAGTTTATAAAATTTTCCTGACATCATGTATATATGGCTGCCTCTCAAAGCGATTTGCTTCAGTGGATCACAAATGCAGCTTATCGAAAGGTGTTCGTTGCTATGACAATGCCATAATAGTCAACACTATCTGTTTTGTTCACTTTGAGTAAAGATTAAACTACAATAGCCAAAGGGATCAAATATGAACAGTTTGAAGATGACAAAATAACCGGATGCTTAAATGCAAAAAAGTCGTACAACTTAGTGTCGTATTGGTTGGAAATGGTAATAAATTGCCGAAAATGAACATGTTCGATAGTGAATACATTTTGAATCTTTACTTTTAAATAACATGGTATAAAGGGATTTTAACCGGAATCGTTTATGGCATTTTTGCAATATTGACTTAAAATTAAATGGTTTTGATATAATCCAAACAAAAAAAGCAGAAAAAAAGCAGCTGCTTTCTTCAGTTTACGCAGTGTGTATTCAACTTAGAGAATTATAGACTCTTTAAGGAGGTGTTGAGGTTATCAATATCGCCCTTTTCTCAAAATCCTTTTTTTTTATGTAGTGCAACCTCACAGCCGAGAATAAAAAGAACTTCTCGCCACCAATCAACACTTCGCCTATTTCTTCTTTCACCTTTGGCAATGATACAGTTTCTTTGTTTTATTTATTCTGTTGCTGATTTTTGTTACAATGTACATTGTTGAGCGAGATACCAATTTATTTTGGGAGGATTATATAAATCCTTTTACCAGAAAAAATGAAACTAAATGTGTAAAAATAATACCAAGATTTAGTGTATATGTGCCTATACATAATTAATAACAAAAAGGATTCTTAATATGCGAACTCAAAAAAGAGTTTTCTTTAATAAATACAGACCTACTGCTGGACAAGTGAGAAACCTGGTACGCGACCAGAAAGACATAAGACATAGTAAACTTGTTTTCTGATGTTTATTTATTTTCCAGTTTATGGAACACTTGAAGTTGATCATTCAGGTTCTTCAATCTAGAAAGGAATGCACAATCTAGGGTTTTTGTAAATAAATGTTTGGCATAGCAATTGAATATTTTCCAACGGCAGGAGCCAGATCAGTTATTCCTTCAACTCCACGCACTGTCACATAGTCTACAGGTGCTTGCTGTGGTTTGCATTTATTTTGCTCCCTTTTTATAAAGCTACTACGTGTCTTCGCATCAACTGAACTCCAAAAATAATGATCCAGTTTTGTTATTTAGACCATTAAGGCTTTAAAACTGTTTCTTGTCGTCTATTATTGCAAAAAAAAAAAAAACAAGTAATTTTACAGCAAGGGCTCGGCCTTGGCGAAATTTCTTTTATGATGTCTCATTCTTCATAAGTCTACAGAAGCAATTTGTGGAGGCAGATAATTGACCTAAATCAGCAATATCTTTGAAAATAACCCATTTAAATGACTCCTATGTTGTGAACACGTCTTTTATGACGGCTCAGTCAATTCCAAGCGTGCCCGTCCCCCCCTCCAGACAAGTTGTGGGATCCAGCGGTGAGGTAGCCTGCGTAGCAAGCGTTTCCTCGCGAGGTTCGTCTAGAAAGCCGGGTCAACCTTTTTTTTGCTTCCGCTCTAACTTTCGCCCAATAACTCGACTGGAAACGCTTGCTACGCAGGCTAGCGGTGAGGTATTTGTTATCAAAGGTCTGCCCAGCTTGGCCGCGTATTTGTCATTGTTGAGCTTTACATTTTCTGGCACTTATAAGAGCAAAATCTATGGCAAATAAAAAAATACATAAATACATGCTTGTTGTAGAGAGATTTTATAATCCAGTAATTCTGGTTTCATTATCGTCATATCAAACACCAGTCACTGTTGGAGGTATATGTGAAAGAGGAGCAACCTGCCGTGGAGAAAAGGCTGCGACTAGCCTAAAGGAAAAAGCCGAATTTTTGCAGTCGTTGCTCGAACGTCGTTTCGCGAGGAAACCAGTAGTGGCGTCGCGAAATGTCGACAAGGTTTTCTCAGACTTGGCTGCGACAGGATTTGGGAAGTTTTGCGATCAACTGAGAAAGACATTTTCCTTAACTGCAAATTAAAACTTACCATGGAAAGTCATACCTTTTAAAAGTATCAATTTAGGGAAAATAAGGGTAAGCAATATTAATATTAATCCTAGGAAAAAGGAGGGTCTGACCATCCGAAACTTCTGGTTACCTCTCAGCTTGCTAAAGCAAATTTCTTTATTGTGTCCTATAATTACTCTATTGTTGTTAGATTGATTTCCATTCACTTGCGCCTCGGATTTGCGATTGTTAGCTTCTTTCAAGAAAACTTCACTTTTGCTTGGTCGGCCCCTGGATAGTAGGATCAACACCACAAGGAAAAATTGGTTTGTCGGATTAAAATTTTCAAAGAGAAAAGCAATCGCAGTATTTCCTTTCTACATTCAAGAGGGAATATTTTCGTATCCTTTGTACGGATGTCCTCTCGCCTCAAAAAAATTCAGAAAGAGAGACGCTCTATTTTTCATCACTGAATTAAGAATTTTAAAGGCGTTTACACTAAGGTGGAAATGAGATGTATATGAAATAAATCATATGAGAACTGCGGAAATGATATCAAATGAAGAATTGTGAACGCAATTTATGCAATTGCGTAAGAAGCCTGAAATATAAAATTCACGAGTTCAACGGGGTTTGAAGCAGTTACCTCGCGAAGATACCGGTACGATTCTCCAACCAACTGAGCTATGAAGCCACTGATGTTGGGAGCTGGTTAATTATGAGTTCATAAGTTCCCGTGAAAGAGATGAATGTGAGATGTATATGAAATAAATCATATCTCATTGCTTTCATTTTTAATCTCCATCGAAGACAGTGGTCTACTGTCTACACTATTGACAATATCAATAATAATGATAATATTACTATTATTATCTTATTATTATTAAATTATTCACGATCACTGGCAAAAAGAATTCATTGTTTTGCCTTGTTCATGCACCTGTCTCACGTTGATATTAATCCGAGTCTTTGAAATATAAACTTCAAATTTTTTCCACTCTTCTGCGTTGAGAGATTTCACCCTTGTGGATTTAGCACCAAAATCCAACTTATTACAACCACTACTCTTATTAGCCTCAAAACTGAAGTGTTCAGATTCGCTACAAATCTTGTAATTGCAGAATTCTTCCACAGCGCATTTGTTTGATTCGGTGTCATTTCCTCCAACTATATTAGTTGATGCACAGTTTTTATCCAGTATTGCCGTGTTTTTGTCTCTTACATCTAATTCATCCAGGTTCACCCCTGTTGTTTTGTTTGTTTTATCATCAAAGAGTCCATTTTGCCATTTCAAGCATGGCGGGGGTTCATTTTCTTCTCCAACTTTAATAATCCTGGGGACAGCATGAAAAGCAGTTCTAGATTGCCCAGACATGATTAGAATATCACCACTGCGAATGTATAAAGCTGCAAACATAAACAAAAACAGTTACCTACTAACCTTTTCTTCACCGTCTAAAAAGAAAAAGAAAAGTACCCAACCCCCCACAAGGAACACATGAGAATTAAGCTTGCATTATGGGAAGAAGAATCTAGAACTCATTAACATCCATGTCTGCTTGAAAGGGATTCCCTTCAATATGGGGTCTACTTAATGAAGTTTTTCTGTAATAACAGCAAAAATAAGAGTATTGTTTTCAGCAAGAGGGAAGGAGGAGAGAGTGTTGGAGGCACCTGGCACTAAGTCTGTGTGCTTTACCCTATAAGTCCCAATAGTGACTAAGACCAAATTTCTCCAAACAAAATCCATACATTGTCAAGAGATAAATTATGAGAATTAATAAAGTGATCACGCGAGAGAAAATGCCTTGATCTATTATCAAATTCTTTCTACTTATTCTTTATGGAAATGTATAGAGATCAGTTTGGAGAATTTATGTGTGGACATTGGGGCTTAAAGGGCTAATGAGGGATGTAGACCAGTACTATTGTGCCAGTGATAGCAGTTTTTGTGAAGAGGATACACACATAATTGCACATTAGTTGCCGGTGACTTGTCCCAGGTTCATCTTACATGTAGTTGCTGTATATAATTTGGTGGGTTGGTTTGGCCTGTTTGCTCTGCCACTATGTCTTTTTCATGTTGTGTAGTGGATTAGAAAATACTAGCAAATCTCACCAGAATATCATTCGATCAACAGAGGCAAGAAAATAAACAAACCATTAAGGGCTTTTGCTAAATTGGTAGACCATGAGACAAGGTGCTCATTAGGCATAAGAGACTGGGGAATTCTCTGTTTACTTGGCAGAATTCTCCGGTTACAACTTTCTCCTGCGACTAGAATACTTATTACCAAAACCCTGTATTGTTACTTCTGTTAGAGTGCAGGGGTAAATGTCAATAGGAGAGTGGGAGGTCTGATTCAGCTTCTTCAGCTTAATAATATTGACCATTCTTCTCACATTGTACTAGCTTGCTTTACATGGAATATAGCTTGACCTCCATTGAGCGGCCATCAATTAAGAGGCAACCCTCTATTACACGGCTAGTATTCACAGTGCCAAAATACTTGTGGAAAAGAATGGTATATTAAACCTCTATTAAGTTGCCACCTTGTGGCTATCCTGATGAGGATGACAGTCCTCTTATTGTTCAAGTGCTTGATACAATTTAGTTTGGAATTATTTTATAAAATAATACATGTATTGATGAAGGAAAATACAGTCCGAGATAGGTGACGAGTGATTGTGAACCAGGTATGTCCCTTCTGTCACCTGTTTGTTTTAAGATAAGGTGACGTCTCTTATAATATGTGATGGCCTTCTATTAAACGAGCAACCTTCATTAAGCAGCCACTTGCTGGCACCTCAAGGGTGGCTGCTTAATGAAGGTTCAACTGTATTTACAAACTCCAACATACCTTCTGGTCTAATGTCTCTGGTAGCTCCACCAATGAGAAAAATCGCTGTCTGTCCAAAACTCAAGGAGATCAGAGGCCACGACAAATCTGACTCATAATGGTCCGTGTGTCCCCCCATGGTTCCCCCCAAGGGATAGTAATTGACAATACCAGCCTCAGGGGAGTAGTCAGGGTAACCAATGGTACTAGCAATATGCCGAGTCATGCTGGCCAGGTCAAGTGGAAAGTCATAATATCTTTCAGGTTTATAATCCACAACATTATAATCAAAATGGTAACCAAGGTGCACCCAGCGAAGCCGATCCATCAAGCCACGATTTTCACCACTGCTGTTGAAAAATAATCAGTGGTCATTAGCTTTTCTTATATAATAATTTATAAAATAACTAAGATAGAACAGTACGTGCATTCTGATTGGTTAAAAACCTATGGTTTACTGTGCCAGTAAACTCATAGAAAACTGAAACATGCTTTAAAGTTATTTTATAAAAGCAATAGACCACACTTTTTATAGGGTTTACTGGTGAGATAACCCACTTGGGTCAAAGTGACATAAAATGTTTAATTTAATGGATAGTTAGTAATAAAAACCACAGCCATAGTGGAGTGTTACATTATTATGCTGTTTAATAATAATATTAACAATAATAGTATTATTAGGGGAGGTTAAGCAAAAAAACTGATTTGTAATAGCCTGTTCCGGGCTCTCAAATGGTAGAGATGACGCGTAAGTGAAAGACATGCAAAAATATGAGCCCTTCCTCTCCCAAATTTCCCCCGGCCGTTTTGTTTTCATGTTCGTGATTTCTAAATTCTATAGACGCGACTATCTCAGAGCCCAAAACAGGCTAGATTTGTCAGTGGCAAACAGATCAAAATGGTCTAAATAATTGAGAAAAATAATTATCACATACACTCATGTGACAAAAATAAAAGCAAATACTTTCAAAAAGCAGTAGATGCTTTGTAAGCCATGAAACAACTCACAGCCAATCAATCATAACTTGAATTCTTCAATTCTTCTTCCTCACTTTTGCTACATACACTGAATGCACATTGTAAGTTTTGGCGTCGCCTTTACTATCCAAAGCATAACAAATTCTGTTTTAAGCCCCTCTGAATAAAGCCTCCCACGCAGGCTTTTTTAGGGGAGCTTGTTTTTCATCCCTCCCCACAAACGCCTGCTCAACCGAAGACAACATTCCTTTCCCAAGCTTAGCCAATCACATTGTACTTTCCAAATTCTGGAGAGTTGACCTTGACCGCAGGGCAGAACTGATAATTACTCGATCTCCATGAAACACTGGGAAAGCTTTCTGACCTCTAATAAATGTTAGATTCAGAGCGGAAAAATAAGGTTTAGTTAAATTTTAGAATACTTCACGCACTGTACAACCTTTATAATAGCGAAGGAAAGAAAAGAACCAAAAGGGTAACTCCAGGGTCATGTTTTAGTCATGATTAGCCTGTTAACACTTTATTTCACAACTATTGATTGGTCACTTACCACACAAACAAAACAATGGGAAACGAATGTTGTTTTCGGTTGAGCAGGCGTCTGTGGGGAGGGATGAAAAACGAGCTCCCCTAAAAACGCCTGTGTGGGAGGCTACTCTGAATAATGTTCATTTCAAAAAATTCATGGTCATGAAACTGTATTCTCAATAGGGACCAGAGAAAACTCTGGGTGATAGAGAAATCTGCATAATCGAGACACGGGTAATTGAGGTTCATAATTTTTGCAGTTGATTATTTGGGTGAGTATAACATATGAGAGCAAATCAGAAGTAGAATTGTTACAGTAAAAGTCGTGGATCAGTTTAAGTTTCTGGGAAACTGCCCACCAACCCCTCCCATAAGCCAACATTTTGCCCTAAGTGAGAACAAGTTAGTGTTAACATTGAGTTAGGGGAGTGGTAGGTGGGCAGTTTCCCTGATCCAAAGTGATCTCTCAAATTATGTTACTTTACACACCACTCAACAAAATTATCTCATAACACTAAAATAGAGAAATGTCTTAATACTGTATCAGTCAAAACTGATGCAATTCTGGCATAAATGTTAGTACAGTCAAAACTTGCTTTATGGACACCCACTTAAAATGGACACCTCATTATCACAGAAAAATTGCTTTGTCCCTGGGGAAAGAAAGCCCTTACAATTTCTCTAAATTCTACCCACTTAATAGGGACACCCCATTGTTAATATGGAAACTTTCTATCACCCCTCAGTGTCCGAATTAACAGGGTTTAACTGTACACAGTATTGTTAATATGGAAACTTTCTATCACCCCTCAGTGTCGGAATTAACAGGGTTTAACTGTACACAGTATAGATGGTTTTCACAGTGATGTCATCAAATTGTAAAGTCAAAATAGCGAGGTTTTACGAAGTCTTATTTACACTAGGTTGAAGATGAACAAAAAATAAATCTTTGTACAAGTTTCCATTCCTGTAGCATATTTCATTTCGAAAATACAGCAATTTGAACTTCCGAGTTTTTACAGCACGTGAAACCAAAATGGGAATGCTGTCTCATTGAAAAAAGTCTCTCCTCTTGATTTTCAGCAGTATAACCATTTCAAGTATTAGAAGATATGTTTATGCACATGTATGCTGGTTCTGGAGTGAAAAGAAAGAGCTTTTGTAGAAAAAGTGAACTCCAGATGTTTTTGTTGATTTCCGGCAGCCATATTGATGGACCAAAACAGTACACCAATATGGCATCTCCATACAAAGCTCTACAAAGGTGCATGCAACGTTTCAGCAAATAACTCAGAAACTGTGGGCCACAAAGACCTGAAACTTGCACAAATCGTTTATATTTTAGTCTTTTATAACATTTCATTTTCTTAGCTTCTTCCACTGGATGGTTTCCAATTTATTTTTTTGTTGCGTGACAGTGAAAATGATCTATAGGTGGTTTTCATGCAATCTCGGGAGACACAAATAACAATAGTGAAATGAACAAATGCTGGTGGAGAAACAAAGAGAGCTAATGGCCAATCTTTTGTTTACCGTCCACCAGCATGGCGGCGATGACGTAACGTGAAAACCACCTATAGATATTTTAATAATAATGTTAGGAGGCCAAGTTAAATGATAATTACTAAGCAGCATGATGAGTTAAGTGTACCTGTTGCTGATTTCCCAGACCGATTTTTCAGGGTCCAACGTCATATGGGCATCCAGATTACACACATTTGGTTTCCGGGGAAAATCTTCCATGCATCGCCTTATCCAGTAGTGTTGCCCTCCTGGTAGAAAAGGATTCACTATAAACATAAGCCCGGGACAAGATTTGAGCTTGTAAGCGCGCCATTCACTAGAACAACGAAGTCCGAACTTCGAATGCATTCCCCCGACTTCGAATTTCTCTACACGTCCGCGAAAGGACGTCGGATCTTGGAAGTCAATAACTTCACTGAAGTCTGGAGGAGGTTTTTTCCGTTTATAACGTTTATACTCTTCACGAACAAAGTCCACTCGATCTCTTGAAACCTTCTTGTCGCTGCAGAGGTCAGCATTCAAACCATCAGAGACGACCGTGCCGTCCGCCATGTTTTTGGGAGGCTCAAATGAACAGCAGTATATCACCCTCGTCAGGGCAAGCGTCATGTATGAGGACACGTAACCTACTTGTCGACTTCCCTTCGATGGTCTTCGATCCCCTTCCTCTTCTTTGTCGCTCTCGTTCCAAACTTCTCAACAAACTCGCAGGGAAATACTTGCTTCGCACGCTTCATTTTCTGATTGTTTTTTGTCTTTTTTGAACAGAATATACTTCATTTTCTGATGATTTTTGAACTAAAAAAGAGGCCTGTGCTGGCAGGGAACTTTTTTCACAAAAAACTTAACTAGCGTAGCTTAGCTGGCTAAGCACCTAGCCTGTGCTTGGCTCTCAGATAGTAGGGACGACGCGAAAATTAAACAAGCCAAGCGAAAAAGGACGCGCGTGACACTGTCCAACCTTTTGAGCAGGTGAAATCAAGATAATTTTTTTAATCCCCGAAGAATCATTCGTGGGCCGCAGGGGTGAGTCGCTAGGGAGTTTGGGGGCATGCTCCACTAGAAAATTTTGAAATCTTGATGCTCTGAAACGCTATTTCTAGTGTTCTGAGAGAACAATTTCTGTCTAAACAATTTTTAATACAGTCATGTTTTGTGCTGTGTGTTAAGCAATCCACCGGGCGGTTCAACTGAGGCGTCAATGAAACGTGATTTCAAGGTTGACTGCAACAGTACAGTTTCACGTAGCCACCAAACTGTGACCAATATGACAAGAAAACGGTTTATTTGGTCGCTGAAAAATAAACAATCAGATCAGACAATAAAAGCTTGCAATTTGTTTTGAAACCTTCAGAACATGGAAGCGGAAACAAACTATTGTAGCCGCTCAAGAAGTTGGAACGGTAACTTATATTGAAACTACTCTATGCGTCACGTTTGGCCTTCAAGCTTTAGGAAGGAATTTAGTTGACACTTAAGCTAAGTTTCAGGAGGGTTCAACTTGCTGTAATTCGACGCATTTAGTGGAGTACGAAATGGATGTTAAGTTACCACAGATTTCGCGTACTGATTGTCTAGCAGAGGAGAAAAAGAATGGAGCCAATTATGAGGAGGCCATGAACGAGGCTTTGAAGGAGATATTTACAAATCTAAAGGAGATCGAAAAGGACACCAGAATGAGGAGACTCAGAGCAGATTTGGAGAGACGAAGAAGTAGTGCTCCGGCTACAGTCCTCAGAGACCAATTGAAAGATTTCAGAAAACCTAAACAAACAGAAAGACGATTGTCTACACCTCCTTTGACAACTTGGTCAGAAGAAGTAAATGAAATGTCCACCCAGCTACCACATAAACCTAGTTCGGGGAAGAGAACCAAATCATCTGAATTACCGACTGCGCCACATCCGCGGAGATCAAGATTGTCGCTGACCACGCAGTGGGTTTTGGCTTGTTCTGAAGAGGACGGGGTATGAACAGTGAGTTGTTTAAGATCTTGAAAACTCAGAAAAGGTTTAAAACAACGGCTTTGAGCGCTTGGAGCCTCGTAAGGAACGTGCAATTTGCGATGAAAGCGTGCGCTACAGATCTTGCGATTAAGTGTTTAACATTCAGTGGTGTAATGTCACCGAAGTGAGTCAGCGTTTTACTCTGTCCTCACTAGTGTTTGCTACAATAGTTGAAGATTACTTTTGAAATCGCTTATGGTCTTTTACTAAGCGGTAGAAACTAAGCGGTTTCTTCCTATTACAGTTTCTACTTATTCCGAAGGGCGTCACCACATGAAACCCTAGCTCTAGGCATCGGTTTTTGAAACAGAGTTTAGACTAAGTTAGCAAAACCACATTACTTTAGATAAGCCCTACTATCAGGTGGGTCTAGCTAAAGGTCCTTCCACTGATTGCCTTAAATCTGATATCTGATTGAGTCTAGACTATTAAAAGAAAAGACAATATGGTTTATCTTGAATAACATCTACTAGCGGTAATCTGTCTAACATGCCGAACATGCTTTGTTCAATTGTGGTTTTATTAAGTCTATCAGTAGCTAGTAGATTTGTAAACAGAATGATTTGCATTGTCCATAAAACTATATATAAACAAATGCGTTGACCTAAAAAAAATTCACGGCCAAGGCCGGGTTGTTCAAAGCTGGCTTTATCAACCTAGGCCTAGGGATAATGCAAAATTTGAATTCACACTGTAAAAGCTGAAAAAGCAAGTTCAGTTCATTTCCTGTCGTCTACAATTTGATAATTGGATACACTAAAAGGATTGAAAAAAATTATCCGAGGAAATGTACCCTGGGTACCAGAGGTTTTTCTCGCGTGCGGCGGGAGTTTTCGGTGTTAGCCGAAGGCCGACCTGTTAAATACAAGAAAGAGAAACCCGGGTTTATAGCGCTAAGCGGCCCTCGAACAACTGGTCCAGCTGAATAAACACCGTATTGGAATATGTATAAATTGATATATAGTATACCCACCTGAGTGTGTCAGAAAGACTTCAACAGATTCAGTTTATTAACTTAATTAAGTAATCCGAGGGACAAGCGTCATTGGTACTCATTACTTTTGCTTAATTTCATTTGCTTTCATTTGTTTTTCTTCTTTCTGCTTTCATATCCTTTCTGAAAAGTTAAAGTAATATGTGGGTGCTAAGTTTTAGTTGGATAAATGCATAAAAATTGGATCGGATGATGTACCTCAAGGCTGATATTATTTGTAATCAGTTCAGTTGTAATTAAGTGTTCAGCAAATTCAGAAAATTGCAATTAATTTTAAGTACGCCAAAGTTGCCATAGTAAGTCGGTTTTCGCATTTTTTGCCCAAACTTTGCAAAATCAGGTCAAATTTGATACTCGCAAAATACCATGTTTTCAAAATCGGAGGAAGAAGAAAGCCACGACAGATAGTTTAGTAGCCTTAAGGTATAATTATAGTATCTAACCATTTTGACAAATAATTCTGTGTAATCTCATACAGTCGGCTTGTCTATTGATAGTAACAAGCCCTGAGGCAAAAAGAAAAAGTGGTGCAAAAATAATTGTTTATTTTGCTAGGAAAAAAATTTTAATTACCGTTAAAGGCTGACCTGAAATAAGGTGTTTATCTCACAGTCTATTTGTTCTTCAGTTAAAAACATATTAAGAATTTTTTAAACACAGATTCTCTCTTGCACAGAGTTAACAAAGGGTGGGCTTTGACGTCAACGGCGATTGGGAACGGCAGCCATATGCATTCAATAGCAACTTTTTTTTCTATTTAAAGACATAAATAACTGAACTAAAAGCAAAAGAAACGCTTAGTCACCATCATCGATATCACAAGCATTGATTGCTTCTTATTCAAGCTTAAAAAATTGTAGTTATGTACTACAAACCTATACTGAATCCAACGACTAACCATTTCGTTTTGTTTCCGTTTTTCGCCGTTTGTTTACTCGAAGTTTCATTTCTTTAGTCAGTTTGGGAAATAGATGTGTAAAGTTTAAATAGGAAAATTGTTTAATCCTCTGGCCTCTATATGTAATCGTTTCAAGTTCTTGTTCTCCACAAAGCCTGCGACAGAATCTGTATGTGCACTGAACTGATGAGTTACTCAGTCACTTACGTTGGCCATCAGCACTATGTAATTTGCTCTTATAGAGCCATAAACCGCCGGCAGTGACTTTGCAAATGAGCAAAGTAAGCAGCCTGCAATATAATTGATTAATGTCCAAAACATAATTACTATGCCTATTACTCGGTGACATATTCCTTTAATTAACATTTTTGTTAACAGATGTAATTATAAACTAAACTGGAGAAAATAAAATGCAAATACAAATACAAATTTTCATACGCTCTAGGGGAAGGGAAAATTAAGGCTTCGGCTGAACTGCTAAAATATTGCAGTTTTAATTGTCTAAATTCTCCGTTGGACATAATACTAAACTAAACTCTATCAGGAGCTGGACCCGGCAGCCAAGCAAAATCACTGCAGAATAACAGCAACAATGAAGTGCAAGTTAATTAAATGTGGGCATAATTGAAAAAAAAAATGTATTAAGAAAGAAGATAATATAATGCGCTACTAGTTTAAAGGATAACATGGAAAATATTGAACTTAATTTTTATAGCGTTCAATTTGTACTAATATGTCGTGGAGTTAGAACAAGCTTCCTGAGTTCAAGATTCCGCCTAGAAAGCAGAACTCGTGAAATCAAGATTTTTGATAGTCAAAACCTGAATTCAAATATTGTAGGCCTGGCAAAGATTTAGGCAAACCTTGTCCACATCAGCATACGGCTCAATGAACTTGACGTTCTAGAAAGATGATTCTGCATTGTCTTTGCTCAGTTAAAAATAGACAAGTCAAGTTAAGTTAACATATTAAATAGCAAATAAAACTATCTGGTGGGCAATTTTACTTATCAAACGTCACAAGACAAGCAACGCTTTCTAAGGCATTTTCATTTTGCCCAACGCTTTTATCTAAACACCGTTTACAGGGGCACCCAACGACAATTTTCGGAAGAATATCTGTTGGGAAGACGATTTGAGATCTAGAATTTTCGGAACTTTTGTTGTAAAATTTCTTGCTTACCTGCCTCTCCTAGGATTTTCGAACACCCAAAAATGGTATATTTGCCTATTTTTAACGGATTTTTACCCTAAAAAGGTCACCTAGAATTAACAGTTCGGAAGCCTTTTTTCTGGCTGAAAGTTTCGAAAAGGTAAGTTTGATCTCTTCTCCGGATCACTAGACTTTCAGCTAGGAAATCCGAACAGATGAAAAATTTTTAGGGGATAAAAATATATTTTGATTAAGATCACACATTTGTATTGAGAAACAAAATGTGCTGTATTTGATCAAACTCTTAGAATAAAAGTCACAAAGGACTTGCGCGAGTAGTTGATTTAGAGAATTCAAAATTCGGAGAAGCACAGGTTAAAGGTAATAATCGGTTCATATTTAACGCCTGTTCCCTTTCTCCAGCAAGTTCGAGAAGACGCCACAGTCTTATGTAAGACACAGTTTATTCTTCGTCCCTTTCAAGTTCAGATCATCTTTCTCA